TTCTATTGTTAGTTTCCTGAGGAACCTCCACACTGTTTTCCAGAGGGGCTGTACCAGTTTACATTCCCACCAACAGTGTAGGAGGGTGCCCGTTTCTCCACATCCTCGCCAGCATCTAGAGTTCTCTGATTTGCTCATTTTAGCCACTCTGACTGGCGTGAGGTGGTATCTCAGTGTGGTTTTGATTTGTATTTCCCTGATGAGGAGGGATGCTGAGCATCGTTTCATGTGTCTGTTGGCCATCTGGATGTCCTCTTTGGAGAAGTGTCTGTTCATGTCTTCTGCCCATTTCTTCACTGGGTTGTTTGTTTTTCGGGCGTGTAGTTTGGTGAGTTCCTTATAGATTCTGGATATTAACCCTTTATCTGATATGTCATTTGCAACTATCTTTTCCCATTCCGTTGGTTGCCTATTAATTTTCTGGGTTGTTTCCTTGGCTGTGCAGAAGCTTTTAATCTTGATGAGGTCCCAACAGTTTATTTTTGCTCTTGATTCCCTTGCTTTTGGGGATGTGTCAAGTAAGAAGTTGCTGCGGTGGAGGTCAAGGAGGTTGTTTCCTGCTTTCTCCTCTAGGGTGTTGATAGTTTCCTGTCTCACGTTCAGGTCCTTGATCCATTTTGAGTTTATTTTTGTGCATGGTGTGAGAAAATGATCTAGTTTCATTCTTCTGCAGACAAGCTACTACATAATTCTTAAAATGATTGTGTAAGGAACGCCTGGCTGGCTCAGTCAGTAGAGCACATGACTCTTGATCTCAGGGTAATAAGTTCAAGCCCCAAGTTGAGTGCGGATCCTATTAAAACAACAATAACAACAGGGACGCCTGGGTGGCTCAGTCCATTGAGGTCTGACTTCAGGTCAGGTCATGATCTCGCCATTCATGAGTTCGAGCCCTGTGATGGGCTCACCGCTGTCACCCTGTCAGCACAGAGCCTTTGGATCCTCTGTCCCGGACCTCTCTCTTTCCCTCCCCCACTCTCACTCTCTCTCTCAAAAAAATAAGTAAAACATCTTTTAAAAAAATAATTAAAAGAAACAAACAAAATCCTTTAAAAATGATTATATAATATCCAGCTGGGTTACAAAGCTAATTTCTTTAACTTTATTGCTCATTGCAGAGTATAAATATTTCTGTTAACAGCAGAATTGAACGCAGAGCATCTTTTGAGAGTCCAGGCCAACACCCAGGTGAGCCCTGGGGGGAAGTTACAGGAAGTTTCAGCCTCATCCAGTTGCCCCATCAGCCTAATAAATGTCTGCCTCTGAAGTCAAGGTCTTTGTTTTCCTAAAGACTTCCCTAATGGTCCTTGATTGCTTCTGATCTGAATATGACTTTAGAAGCCAACAAGACAGCATCCAGCAGTTTCTTTCCTATGCTCCAATTCAGCATCATACTGAAGATCAGACGATTTGGAGGAAAATTAATTTGTACCAAACATAACCAAGGAAGCTTTAGTTAAGTTGTAGGCTTTATCTCTGCACATTCGGGGTTGACATACATAAAGTTCATAATCAAGGTAAATAACATCCAGAGGTCATGGTTAGAGTTCAGACCTACTTGTGGTAGATCGTAGAACTGGCCCCACTTCTCCACTCTACCCTGTTTCCAAGCCACTGTGCATTGCGACTTTATAGCTTCTCCCATCGAGAAGTAGAATCTACATCTTCACCCTTGATCGTAACCTGCCTTAGGACTTGATTTGGCCCATAGGACAGTAGGCAAATGTGATGCAAGCAGAAGCTTGAGACATGCTTATGTACACTGCTCCTGGGAACCCTGAGCCCAGGCTAGCCAGCTGGCGCAGGGTTAAGCCAAGCCAGTGGAGGCCCCTCTTAGACTGAACAGCCTGCCAGTCGCCAGATATGTGAGCAAGGCCATCCTCTACCCTCCAGCGCCAGTGGAGCCGGCCCATGCCGGAACCACGCAGCTAACCCAGAGAATCATGAGAAATAATTTAATCTTCAGTGTTTGAAGATACTAAGTTTGGGGGATACTAAGTTTGTTACGCAGCAAAAGCCAGTTAATAGACAATTCTTAGAATGATTTATATATAACACCAACATAAAGTTGGAAAAGGGCATTTTTAGCGCCTTGCTATTGTTCAAACATGATCAAAAAATATCTTTGCATCAAGCGTATTTTTTAATGTTTATTTATTTTTGAGAGAGAGAGAGAGAGAGAGAGAGCGCAAGTGGGGGAGGGGCAAAGAGCGAGGGAGACAGACAATCTGAAGCAGGCTCTGCACCATCAGTGCAAAGCCAGTGCGGGGCTCGAACTCAGGAACCGTGAGATCATGACCTGAGCTGAACACTTGACTGACTGAGTCACCCAGGCACTCCAGCATCAAGTTTCCCGGGTTTAAAAAATATTTTCTTAATGTTTATTCATTTTTGAGAAAGAGAGAGAGAGAGAGAGAGAGGGGGACTGAACACAAGCCGGGGAGGGTTGGCGGGGGGGAGAAAGAGAGAATCCCAGGCAGGCTCCACGCGGTCATCACGGAGCCTGATGTGGGGCTCGAACTCACCAACTGTGTGAGATTATGACCTGAGCTGAAGTCAGACGCTTAACCAACTAAGCCACCCAGGTGCCCCAGGCTTCTCATTTGAAGTGAAGGAAAAGTTTATTTCATCAGTTTCAGGAACAAGGTGAGATGTGTGTTCTTGCCATTTCTATTCAACAATATAATAGAGGTTCTAGCCTGTGCAATCAGCCAAAAAAAAATGGAGTGGGGATTAAAAGCATGCACACTGGAAAGGAACGAGCTAAAACTGTTGTTGTTTTTTTAATGTTTTATTTATTTCTGAGAGAAAGAGAGAGACAGCATGAGCAGGAGAGAGAGAGAGGGAGACACAGAATCTGAAACAGGCTCCAGGCTCTGAGCCATCAACACAGAGCCTGACGTGGGGCTTGAACCCACCAACCATGAGATCATAACCTGAGCAGAAATCTAGAGTCTGACACTTAACTGACTGATCCACCCAGGTTCCCCAACTGTCTTTGTTCACAAACAACATGATCCTATATGTGGAGAATTCTAGCCTAAGGAATCCGTTACAAAATAACTACTAGAACTAGTGACTTTAGCAAGGTTTCAGGATACAAAATCAACAAGCAAAACACATTGCAGTTCTATATACCAGCAGTGAACAATCCAAAAGGAAAATTAAGAAAACAATTGGGTTGACAATTGTACCCAAAAGAATAAAATACTTAGGAATAAATTTAACAAAAGCAACTCAAGATTTGTGCACTAAAAACTTTGCTGATCGAAACTAAGGATCTAAATAAATGGAGAAACTTTTTATGTCAATAGGAAACACTCAATATTGTTAACATACCAGTTGTCCCCAAATTGATCTGTAGATCCAAAGAAATTCCTAAGAAAATCCCAGAGGGCTTTCTAGAAATTGACAAGCCTAGGGCACCTTGGTGGCTCAGTTGGTTAAGCATCTGACTTTGGCTCAGGTCTTGATCTCACAGTTCATGGGTTTGAGCCCTGGGTCATGTTCGAGTCCCACGTCGGGCTCTGTGCTGACAGCTCGGAGCCTGGAACCTGCTTTGGATTCTGTGTCTCCCTCTCTCTCTGCCCCTCCCCTGCTTGTATTCTGTCTCTGTCTCTCTCTCTCTGAAAAATAAATAAATATTAAAAAAAAAGAAGGAAGGAAATTGACGAGCTTAATTGTATATGGAAGTGCAAAAGACCTAGAATACCCAAAGCAATTTTGAAAAAGAACACATCTGGAGAACTTCTACTACCTAATTTCAACACTTTCCAGAAACCTATAGTAATCAAGACAGTGCGGTATTGATAAAGGCATATAGATTGACAGGACAGAATTGAGAGCCTAGAAAGAACCCCTGCATTTATGGCTAACTGATTTTGCCAAAGGTACTCTGAGAATTCACTAGGAAGAAAGACCGTCTTTTCAACACATGGTGCCAGGACAGTTGGCTCTCCATATGCAAAATGTCATCTAGACCGTTAGGTCACAGCATAGAGAAAAATGAACTCAAATCGATCATAGACCTATATGTAAACCTATAAAATATTTAGAAGAAAGCATAGGAGGAAATCTTTGCAACCTAGAGGCAAAGAGTTCCTTCAAAAGACACCCAAAAGAAGGGTGCTTGGCTGGCTCAGTCAGAAGAGTGTGAGACTCTTGACCTTGGGGTGGTGAGTTCAAGTCCCATGCTGGGCGTAGAGATTACTTAAAAATAAACAAACAAAAACTTTAATAAAAGACACCGCAGGACACCTGGGTGGCTCAGTCAGTTAAGCATTTGACTTCAGCTCAGGTGATGATCTCACAGCTCGTGAGTTCGAGTCCAGCATTGGGTGAGCTCCAGCCCCACATCAGGTGAGCACAAGGCCTGCTTTGGGTGAGCCCCACTTCTCTCTTTCTCTCTCTCTACCTCTTGTGGGATTTTCTTTCTCTCTCCCTCTCTCGCTCTCTCTCTGCCCCTCACTCACTTGCACCCTCTCTCTCTCAAAATAATAAAGTAAAAAACAAAACAAATACGGGCACCTGGGTGGCTCAGTTAGTTGCGTGTCTGACTCCTGATTGCAGCTCAGGTCATGATCTTGCAGTTTGTGGGTTTGAGCCCTGCATCGGGCTCTGCATTGATGGTACAGAGCCTGCTTGAGATTCTCTCTCTCTGGCTGTCTCTGCCCCTCTCCTGCTCTTGCCACACGAGCTCTCTCTCTCTCTCTCTTTCTCTCTTTTTTTCTTATAAGAGAAAAAAAGTTGATGAATTGGACTTCCTTAAAATTAAAAGTGTTTGCACTTCAAAAGACACCACTAAGAAGAACACCTTGGTGGCTCAGTCTTCCAACTCCTCATCTCATCTCATCTCATCTCATCTGAGCTCTTGGTCTCAGGTCTGGAGTTCAAGCCCTGAATCTGACTCCACGCTGGGCGTGAAGCCTCCTAAAACAAACAAACAAATAAACAAACAAACAACCTTTAAAAACAGACACCTCTAAGAAAGCGAAAAGACAGAGCTCGCTTTGGCAACACATATACTAAAATTGGAACAATACAGAAAAGATAAGCATGGTACCAGTGCAAGGACTGACACAAGAAATTCATGAGGTATTCCATATTTTTAGAGAAAAAAGTAATACCCATTAAATTTAAAAATTAGGGGCACCTGGCTGGTTCAGTTGATAGAGCGTGAGACTTTTGATCTCAGGGTGGTAAGTTTGAGCCCCATGTTGGGTGTCAAGATGACTTATAAAAAGTAAAATCTTTATGGGGTACCTGGGGTGGCTCAGTTGGTCATGTGTCTGATTCTCGATTTCAGCTCAGGTCCTTATTTCGCAGTTCATAGAACTGAGCCCTGCGTGGCTCTGCGCGCTAACAGTGTGGCGCCAGCTTGGAATTCTCTCTCTTTCTCTGCCCCTCCCCCACTCATGTGCTTGTGTTATTTCTCAAAATAAATAAATTTTTAAAAATCAAAATAAAATCTTTAAAAAATGAAAAATATTACAGAAATATTTAACATGAGGGGCGCCTGGGTGGCTCAGTTGGTTGAGTGTCTGACTTTGCCTCAGGTCATGATCTCACGGTTTGTGGGTTCGAGCCCCGCATCAGGCTCTGTACTGGCAGCTTGCTCAGAGCCTGGAGCCTGCTCTGGATTCTGTGACTCCCTCTCTCTCTGACCCTCCCCTGCTCACACTGTCACTGTCTCTCTCTCTCTCTCTCTCAGAAATAAATAAAACATTAAAAAATTTTAAAAAAATATTTAACGTGAAAAGTAAAAAGTTCACTCCATAAAATTTCTATCATTTCAGGATAACCACACTGCAGACTTGACATATACCCGTCCAGTATTTATTTCAATGAATATTGTAAGATAAAATATTGTTTCTCAGAAAAAAGAAAATGAAAAGACAAACCACAGACTGGAAGAAAACATATTCAAACCACATATCTGAAAAAGACTCATATCCAGAAAATACAAAGAACTCTTAAAACTCAATAAGAAGACAAACAACTCAATTTAAAAATGGGCAAAAAGGGGTGCCTGGGTGGCTCAGTCGGTTGAGTGTCGGACTTCAGCTCAGGTCATGATATCGAAGTTAGTGAGTTTGAGCCCTGCATCGGGCTGACAGCTCAGAGCCTGGAACCTACTTCGGATTCTGTGTCTCCCTCTCTCTGCCCCTTCCCCACTCATGCTCTGTCTCTCTCTCTCTCTCAAAAATAAATAAGCATTTTTATTAAGCATTGTATTATTAAGAAAATACAAAAGAAATAAATAATAAAAGTGGGAAAAAGATTTGAATAGATATTTCACCAAAAAAGATATAAGAATGGCTAAGAAGCACATGAAAACATAACATCATAAGTTATTAAGGAAATTAAAATGGGGCACCTGGGTGGCTCAGTCAGTTAAGTATCTGACTTGGGCTCAGGTCATGATCTCACAGTTTGTGAGTTCGAGCCCTGCTTTGGGCTCTGTGCTGACAGCTCACGGAGCCTGGAGCCTGCTTCAGATTCTGTCTCCCTCTCTCTCTGCATCCCCCCCCCCCGGCTTGCACTCTGTCCCTCGCTGTCTCTCAAAAATAAATAAACATTAAAAATTTTTTTAAAAGAAATTAGAATTAAAACCAAAATAAGATGCCACCACATGCCATTTAGAAAGGCAATAACCAAAAAGACAGATGATACCAAGTGTTGGCGAGGCTGTGGAGAAACTGGAACCCTTATACATTGTTGTTAGGAATTAATAATGGCATAGCCCTTTTGGAAAGGAGTTTGACAGGTTTCTTGACAATGTACTCAGAAACTAACCAGGTGACCCAGCAATTTCACATAGGAATCTATTCAAGAGAATAAAAACACTTGCACAGAAAAACTCATATGCTGATATTCATAGTAGCATTATTCATAATAATAAAAAACCAAAAACTATCCATATGTCCATTAATGACGAGCAGATACACAAACCGTGGTGTATCTGATACACGATGGATTACTGTCAGTCATAAAAAGGAACAAAATGCGGGGCGCCTGGGTGGCTCAGTTGGTTAAGCATCTGACTTCGACTCAGGTCATGATCTCATGGTTTGGTTCGTGGGTTTGAGCCCCACGTCGGGCTCTGCGCTGACAGCCAGCTCAGAGCCTGGAGTCTGTTTCGCATTCTGTATCTCCCTCTCTCTCTGACCCTCCCCTGCTCATGCTGTCTCTCTCTCTCTCTCTCTCTCTCTCAGAAATAAATAAAACATTAAAAAAATTTATAAAAAAAGGAACAAAATGCTGACAACATGGATGAACCCCCAAAACACTGCACTAAGCGAAGGAAGCTAGATACAGAGCTCCATACGTTGTATGATTCCATTTATATGAAATGTCCGTACAAAGCAAAGCCGTAGAGACAGAAAGGCTAGTGGCTGCCTGGGACTGGAGTTCCCGCGGGCGCTGTCACTACATGTGGGCTCTAGGGAAATTTTGGAGGTGATAGAGACGTTCTGAGCCTGGCTTGTGATGATGCTGGCACGAGTCTATAAATATACTGAAAATCGTTAAATTGTACACTAACAATGGGTACGTTTTATGGTATGTATACTATACCTTGATAAAACTATGAAAATGTGCCCAGTGCCAGGAAAGACGGACAGGTTTTATCTTGCCCCAGCAGCCCCAGCAACACCAACCACAGTGTGTGTCTGGAAGCCAAGACCAGGGTTCACCCTGGCGCCATAGATGAGAGAGAGAGAGAAAGAGAGAGAGAGAGAGAGAGAGAGCGCGGGGGAATGCTGCAGCCACCACCCACCATTCCCCTGACCAGAGACTGCTGACTTCCCCAAGGATCTTCTCCACCTATTTCACCCATCCCTCCACCCTCCTCTCCTCTGGCACCCACCAGTTTGTTCTCTGTATTTATGAGTCTGTTCTGTTTCTGTTTTATTTTGTTCCTTTGTTTGGTTTTTTTAGATTCCACAAAAAAGTGAAATCATGTGGTATCTGTCTTTCTCTGTCTGCCTTATGTCACTTTAGCATCATACCTTCTAGGTCCATCTATGTTGTTGCAAATGTCAGGATTTCATTCTTTTTTATGGCAGAGTAATATTCCATTGTATATATACACCACATCTTTGTCATCCATTCATCTGTGGATGGACACTTGGGCTGCTTCCATATCTTCGCTATTGCAAATAATGCTGCAATAAATATGGGGGTACATATATATTTTCTAGCTAATGTTTTAGGTTTCTCTGGGCAAATGCCCAGCAGTGCAATTACTGGATCATATGGTTTTTCTACTTTTAATTTTTTGAGGAACCTCCATACTGTTTTCCACACTAACTGCACCAATTTACATCACCACCAATAGTGCATGAGGGTTCCTTTTTCCCCACATCTTTGGCAAAACCTGTTGTTTCTTTCTAATTTTTTTAACGTTTATTAATTTTTTGAGACACAGAGAGAGAGAGCACAAGCAGCGGAGGGGCAGAGAAAGAGGGAGACACAGAATCCAAAGCAGGCTCCAGGCTCTGAACTGTCAGCAAAGAGCCTGATGCGGGGCCTGAACTCACCAACTGCGAGGTCATGACCTGAGCCAAAGTAGGCCACCCAATGGACTGAGCCACCCAGGCGCCCCAAAACCTGTTGTTTCTTGCTTTTTTGATAATAGCCATTCCAAGAGATGTGAGGTGGTATCTCACTGTAGCTTTGATTTGCACTTCCCTGATGATGACTGATATTGAGTATCTTTTCATGTGTCTGTTCTTCATACCCATTCTTGCTTCCTTTTCTGGACCTCTGGAGCCCCGGAGGATGACATGGCTATATTCTGAGATTATGTCCTTCCTGCTTTTTTTTTTTTTTATGTGAAAATGTACTTTCTTTCATAAAATGATGGTGGGAATAGTTAGAAGTTGAGGAGGCTTTCTTAGTTTTTGAATGTCCTAAGTTGACAATATTAAAAATTGGCTAACCTCTCCTCCCACTCATTCACATACATGGTTACACCTTTTAATGGGGAGGGATTCATTAGTCCATAAAAATATTGACTAGTATCCACCTTATATATCTAACTTTTCTTATGCTATAGAAATATATGTAATATTTATCATAAAGTAATTTATAATAAAGTCACCCATATTCTCCCTATCATCTCTTTTTTTTTAAAATATTTTTATTTATTTATAGGAGAGAGAGACAGCGTGAGCAGGGGAGGGTCAGAGAGAGAGGGAGTCACAGACTGAAACAGGCTCCAGGCTCTGAGCTGGCAGTCAGCACAGAACCCGACGCAGGGCTCGAACCCACGAACTGTGAGATCATGACCTAAGCGAAAGTCGGACGCTTAACCGACTAAGCCACCCAGGCGCCCCTCTCCCTATCATCTCTAAAAACGGCAACCTTTGCAGAAGGATGGATCTGCTACAGGAACAATAGGAAAAACATAACTATAGCTACAAGTTGGGTCCTGTGCCAGGCATTGCCTCAAGGAAAGGACCAGAGGCAATCTTGGATGAATGAAATGAAGAAGTAGGGGTGCCTGGGTGGCTCAGTCAGTTGAGCATCCCACTCTTGATTTCAGTTCAGGTCATGATCTCACATTTCATGGGATCGAGCCTCGTGTCAGGCTCTGGGCTGAGCGTGAAGCCTACTTGAGATTCTCTCTCTCCCCCTCCCTGCCCCTCTCCCCTGCTTGTGCTCTCTCTCAATCTCTCTATAAAATAAAATTGGAGAAGAAGAAGGAGGAGGAGGAGGAAGGAAGAAGGAAGAAGGGAGAAGGAAGAAGAAGAAGAAGAAAACCACCAGGTTGAAGGTGCCCAGCACACCAGGGCAAGCTGAGAGCACTTCTAGGAAAGTGGATGTCCTGTGTTTGATTTTCCATTTGCTGCTGTGTGGCTCAGGGCTGTCGTCCTTCTCCTGTGGCCCCACAAATACACAGCAATAGAGAAAAGAACAACAATTCTGGATGCAGTGGGATTCGAGGCACAGGTGACCACAAGGAGGTATTATCAAGGCGGTAGCTGCCAAGATGTAAATAACATGTAATGTAATGGTGATGATGATGATGATGATGATGGCAGAAAAATACAATATAGAAAAACATGGACTCTTGGCTATGGGGTTCTTGTTTATTCAACTATAAG